GTCATCAGCTCGCGCATCACAGAATGTAAACAACACTGTATAGAGTGAACGTGTGGAGCTCACACGATAGAGAAAACACCAAGATGAAAAAATCTAATCCATCTCATTTACCGACGACCATTTCTACTAAAGACCGGGCAAAAAGTGGGGGGAAACTATTCTGCACCCCGTGCAACTGTGTGTTGGAGCATAAGAGAAAATTGACGGTGACGACCCACTTTGATTCATTCAAACATTCGAAAATGCTTTCTACTGCTGCGGACAAGAAAGCCAAACAACTCACGTTCACCGAGGCATCAACCTCCAAAACCCTTTCGAGGGCTACAAGAAACGAAGTGAGTAGCCTACAAGATTGAAGCTGGTCAGATAACGAACGAGTAAATGAAAACAGAATGAGGCGGAGAAGTGTGTTTGTGTGGGGGGGGGGGTGTGTGTGTGTGTGAGATTAAAATAGCCCAATTGCTTTTACAATAAATAAACATTGAATGTGTTTAATTGAATAGTAAAGGGGTTTAACGTTAGTGGCAGGTTGTGTGTGAGAGAGAATAAATAAGACAGCCCAATATTTAAAAAAATTGTTATTCTTTTTTCCCGCATATTTAGCATATTTCCGAATATTTCGCAACTTCACCGCATAAAATCACATAAAAACCCCGCATGTTTAATGACATAATCAAGGATTTTAGCCCGCATAATCAAGGAATTTAGCCCGCATAATCAAGGATTTTTGCCCGCGTTTTTCTGGAGGGTCTAATTAAAGTCGGGTCGAATTACCTTTTTTGAAAATAGCAGGAATCATTATTCTTTTGTTTACAAATTAAAAGCATCGAGGCCCAAAGAATGCTCCAAACATCTCCAATAAAATGGTTCTTCTTAATCGGGCAAATCTATGGCTGCTTTCAAAAGACCAATTAAATCACTAGTTTCAATCCGCCAATCAGAAGGTTACTTTGAATTCGGCAATCGAGGGGTAATTTCAGTCTGCCACTCAGAGGCTTCATTTCAATGGGCCAATCAAAGAGCACGTCTTTATTGGCAAATCAAATTTTTTGTTGCGATTGGCTAAACAACAGCCCAATCAAATGGCATATTTCGATCAGCCAATCAGAGGGATTGTTTGAATCATCCAATTAAATGGCTTTTTCAAATGCTGTGTTAAAGTGCGTCCTTTTTGGTGAAGATACAGGCAATGTAAGGTGACAAAACTGTCAGCCTTTGTCCTAATAAGGGTTTGGTGTATCTGGTTTTCCAAAGTAAAACAAAGTCTCTCTCTGAAGCAACCAATCCAGCCAATTGTATAATTTGGCAAATTAACCTGCTCTTAATATTAAAATGGGCACAAATAGCTAAATTAAGCCCCACTAGCCACAGCCGAAATCCTGGCAACCTTCTCCTCCACAGATCAATCGAAAAATCCTAAAAGCCCGTCAAAAGATTCACTTTCTGCCTGGGAAATCTTCCAAGATGAGATTGTCGACTTTTATTGACCAGGTCAGCCAAGAAAAGACGGTGAGTGGCAATCTCAAAAATGTATGAGGAAGTGTCGAATGAAGGTGTGGGTGAAGATGATGCAATGGGAAGGGACTCTGGTACCCTTGCTGTGACAGCACAGCAATAGTTCAAAGAGCCAGCCAGCCGGCCCCTCCAGCGGGCCGCGAGGGCAGGATGGCAGTGTGTTGTGAACGAAAAAAAATAAAATGTATCTCTTTCCGGTTGTGTGTGTGTTCACGTGCACACGCATCTGAGAGGGCAGAGGGCGGGGGGCTTATATTAATCATAAGCTGTCAGGCTCTGGGTCTTGCACTTCAAACGAGATGGTGCAAATCAAAGTGTGTCTCTGGGTCGTGTGTGTGTGTGTGTGTGTGTGTGTGTGGCAGGGCTGCCTCGGAGGGAACAAGCTGAGGATCAGTGCCGGATTTGAACGCCTGCAGTATTTTTGGGTCGACCACAAGGGCATTTTAAAAACACACACAACACACACACAGAATAAGAAACATTCCGATACAAACATTAGCATGAGTCCGGCCTGCTAGTAGGATACACACAAACACTCAGTTTGGACTCTTATGCACATATGATGCAGAATAGCCCGCTAAGCTGGCTTTGGACTCCTCTCGCTGTCACACACACTCGCAGTCGGCCATCATCACTCAAGTGAACTCAGCATCACAAGAGCCCAACCCTGCCATCAGTCAATCTGTCAGCTTACATGCATGTGCGAGTGTGTGTGTGCGAGTGTGTGCGTGTGCGTGTGCGTGTGTGTCAGAAGGTTTGAAAGCACAGATGCCCCTGGTCCTGCTTTCTAAGTGGACTTGAGAGTGGCTGTAAGAGAGAAAGAAGGAGGATGAAGCCAAATGAGAGGAAAGAAATGCAAAACTCCACATCTTTGTTCCAAATATTCTCCTAAAACGTACCATTCCAATGGGTCTAAATCAAAGAAATGGCAAAAAGAGAATAGTCTGAAAAACCCAAAGCACCTCCTTAAAAAAAAGAACATAGGGAAAAGGAGACGGATAATGGAAAGGGTTTTTACTATAGATGGAAGTAAGAGATGAGAGTGTATAAAAAGCAGAGAATGGGCTGAAGAGTGGCCAAGATTGGGTGAATGGGCTACGAGGAGAAAAAAGAAGGGGAGGGGGGGGAAATGTGAGAAAGTGGGATGAGAGAGACAAGCTGTGGGTGTGGGAGAGGCCAAATGGATGATGAGAGAGATGAGGACAATGAGATTAAGGGGGAAAAGGAAGATATAAATAGAGGAATAGAGGTACTTGGAGATGCCTCTCAGGCCTCACAACAAACACACTTTCAGTCTCCCTCCTTCTCCTGGGGGAGGAGAGAAGGTCAGCATCCACACTCCATAGCCTCTGCCATAGGCTACCAACATGTGTTATGATAATCAAAAGAAAGCTCAGTCCTAATTACAAAGCAGAGCACAGCCGCACAGCCGCACGTCAGATGGAAAATCACCGACACTTGCTTCGTAAAACGACTCCACTCTGAGCACCTTGCGGTGAAAAGCTATGAAAGCAATACGCCGATGATGGTGGTGTTGGTTGCCGAAATAAAGACGAGGCTAAAAGAACACAAGATTCTGCTGCTAGCGCAAGCCGTCAGTGCTTTACTGCTTTGCTCGGCTTCCTTTCACAGTCCACCACGCAGCTGGAGTCTCTCTGCAACAAAGCGTCTTCTGGAGATGAAAGCGAAAGGCCCAGTTTCACCATTCAAAATTCAGATGTAGATTATATAATTCAGTGTGGTTCAGTCTTTTGCTTTGAAGTCTGTTTACATTCATTTTTGTAGCTTAAAAAGCAACAAAGGCAGCCTCAATTTTAGTGATGAAGAATTTATGGTACAACAATCTTGAGCAGGAATCAGGATGGATGCACTTTGATGATCTCGAATTGGGAAATTAGGGAAAACCAGAAGTAAAAAATACACCGTAAAAGGCATTCATTAACCTCTACAGAGTAGATACACAATATAGAATCAAATTTAAAAAAGTTATAACACCCTATAATAGGGTCGCCGGATAACAGTGGTTAGCCTTGGTCAACTCTGTACCTCTAATAAAAGGCACTCTCTGACCCCCAAAAAAAGATATTAGCTGTTATATACCGAACTACCACAACATTAACATCTATTTAAACATTACAAGTGTGCACATTTGTTGCAGTTTTTGAAATACAATTAGGTGGTACGAGTTTGAAAATGTACACATTCTGGACTGTTATTGAAAAAAGCTAAACAAAGTAGAGTCTGATTTAAAAAAAGAAAGGAAGAAACTAAAGAAACTATAAAGCTGAGAGTAAATGCAGCAAAGCAGGTCCGATTAGACTGTTATTGAATGACAAGAGGCAAGAGCCATGAGAAAGTAGATGGAGACACAAATGGATTAAGCTTGATAGCGTAGGTGGAATTGTGCAGGTACACAAGTTTGGCTGTATTCAGCTGTGGAACTTATTGAAGCTAAAGCGCTGACAGTTATAATAAGCGTCATTGCTGCTGTTTTCAGTGAACACAGCACAGAGCTCTCCTTTCTTTGTAGTTTGGTTTTGTTACTGTTGGCTCTTCTTCTGGTCATAGCTACTCCGGCCCTGTATGGCTATGGGTGCGTTTCACTTCGGTTAAATGGATTCCTTGCGTCCCTCACGTGCGAATTCCCCAGAGGATGGTCTGGTAGTTGCGCGATTGTTGCTCCTCCGTTATCGCTCCTCCGGCACAAATAAGGCCACTGGGACGCTACTCAAGATGGCGCAGACAAATCAACTTCCGGTGATACCGAGACCATGGAGCGAGGAAATGAAAAATAAGAGAAGTGAAACGCACCCTGAGTCATACCAATTAGTGAGAGAGAGAGAGAGAGAGAGAGAGAGAGAGAGAGAGAGAGAGAGAGAGAAAGAGAGAGAGAGAGAGAGAGAGAGAGCATCCAATATAAAAAGACAAGATAGCACAGGTTATTATTCCTTATAAAACGGACAAGTCAAATCAAGCAATCTGATTGGTTCTTAGCCGTGATATACTGAGTGTATACCACGGGTAGAATTGTAAGTTACTTTTCACAACAAGTCAGTATCCCTCCGCGTCTAAGAAAAACAGTATACCGTCGGGCTGAAAAGCAAACTGCTTGCAGTTTGCTTTTCAAACTGGAACAAGAAAGCAGCGGAGAAGTAACGGGGCAGAAACCCTCCGTTTTATGCAGCGGTCCAGACATAGACATCAAACGGCAAAACATATTCAGTGTGCAGTTCCTTTGGCATTAGGGCAGGGATATCTAGACAATTTCCAAGGTTTGACATAATGAATTGTGCTACTTTTAAAGCAAGCAACGATGTTTTCAAATCTGTAATCAAAGAGGTCCGCAAAAACACTATCGACCAATCAGATTGCTTGATTTGACGTTTTATAAATATATTTGCATTTCTTCCGTTACGAAACAAACTTACAAAGCATAAAATGGAAAAATGTAAGATTAACTTCGACCTGGGTCTTACTATGGAGGAGTGGATTGAGCAGTGCCTATCTCTAGAAAAAAAAGCACCTAACGACGACATGCAGAGCTACGTGAAGAGAAGGTAGACCAACTGGAAAAGTAGCACCATTCAAAAGCTTTCTGATGCGGGTCTTGAAACAAAGCAGAGAAATTATGACCGTTAGTGGCCAAAGGTGCGAAAGCTCTCTCCAGAGCTACTGGAAGCCCAATCTCGGGGACCGGAGAAAGTGGAGCAATATTCTCGCCACGCCAAGCAACAGCCTCGAACAACCTCAACCTATACAAGTGACAACGTAAGCCATGCTACTGATGCTGGACAGTTTTTCAGTGGCTGCACAATAAACGGCAACATACATTAATGTCAATAAAGAGCCAAATAATGGATCAACGCTCTGTCTAATATGTTCGCTAGCTGTTAGTGTTGTTGCATAGCAACCACCTCGCACTATGTTTTGTGCAGAAGGCAACAGAGAGACTTTTGCTTAATTATTACATGGCTTAGTTGAATACTCGATTCTGATTGGTCAATTCAGAACACGTGACACATTGTGAATACCGAACAGACAGACCGCTGTCAAGCACTTATTGACCGTTGTTAAGGACGCTCACATCTGCACAAACAAGTCCGTTCGATTTAACTGTATACAGTTTGGCCGAAAAGAAAACTGCATGCAGTTTGCTTTTCTAACTGACAAGACAAGAGCGACAAGAAAACAGCGGAGAAGTAACGGGCAGAAATCCTCCTTTTTACGCAGGGGTCCAGACATAGACATCAAACGGCGACACATATTCAGTTGCCAGTTACTTTGGCATTAGGGCAGGGATATCTAGATACTTTCCAAGGTTTGACATAATGAATTGTGCTACTTTTAAAGCAAGCAGCAATGTTTTCAAATCTGTAATCAAAAAGCTCCTCAAAAACGCTATCGAAGCAGTTCCTGCCGTTGCTACGTTAGTTCAAACGGTAACAACGGACTATTTTTCTTAGCGGATGCATGTCAATTTAAATCAATACATACAACTATTTTTTAAATCAATAAAACTTTTATTGATTTAAAAAATAGTTGTATGTATTGATTTAAATTGACATGCATCCGCTAAGAAAAATAGTCCGTTGTTACCGTTTGAACTAACGTAGCAACNATTAGCTTTTGCTCTCGACAAAAGCTACTCTTCCTGGGGTCCGACACTTAAAACAATACAACAATAATACAACAATAATACAGCAACATTTAGGACATAAGTCCTGACATCATTAACAACATCACCAATATCATCAACAACATGCGATCAAATTCAATTAGGGTTCACAGCTCACAAGGGTACATGGTCATTAGTAGATGGCCCTTCAATCTCTTCTTGAAAGAGGCTCTGGAGTGGACTCTATTTCAGCAAGGTAGTTTGGCAATGAGTTCTATTCCTTTATAGCTCTATAAGACACAGAAGATTTCAGAAGATTTTTCCTGGGTTTAGGTGCCAGTAGATGGCCTGATGTAGCTTGTCTAGTCTTATGGTCATGCTCGTCTCTTGTGTAAACTATTTGATCAGAAAAATACAGTGGATTTTTGCTAAATTGGAAAAAATTTAGAAAGTCACAGATTATGCATCCCGGGACACAACAGACGTACGGAAAATCGGGCTTAAGACAGATGCTGCCTAAGCAGAGCGAAGTGGACATGGCCTACTGAGTCCATCCTGAGAGTTTATTAGATGTGGCAGCATGGCCTTAATGCCACGGGCCAGACGTGTGTGTGTGTGTGTGTGTGTGTGTGTGTGTGTGTGTGTGTGTGTGTGTGTGTGTGTGTGTGTGTGTGTGTGTGTGTGTGTGTGTGTGTGTGTGTGTGTGTGTGTGTGTGTGTGTGTGTGTGTGTGTGTGTGTGTGTGTGTGTGTGTGTGTGTGTGTGTGTGTGTGTGTGTGTGTGCTATGGTGTTCATGCAGGAACATCATTTATTGTTTTATTTGAAGAAGGAGCTTGTATGCCAGAGGGTGTGTGGGCAGCATGTGATGTGTTCAAGGAGCTTGTGCGAGCCAAGGCCACCTCTGTTATTGAGGAATCAGTTAGTCAGCTACATTAGTGACTGATCGGTTACTCACACACGGTTGCTATGTGCGACATTTAGCTCATTTAGCCCTCTGAAGACAACGAAAAAGCATCTGATAAGTGGATAAAACAATCAGTACTTCTCCGTCTGTGCTGTTGTGTCCTCTCCCCCACCACGCCTTCATCTATCTCCATCATTACCGCACCCCCCCTCTATTTTTGTCATCTCCTCTCTTTGTTTCCTCTCTCCCTCCCTCCTTATCTGTCCATCTCGATTATCCTCCTCCTCGTCATCACCCCCCGCCCTCTCACTTTCTCTCCGTCTCTACCCTTCGTGCCCTTTCCTCTTCCCTCCATCTTTACTCAGACCCGTAAAAGGGTATCGAGCTCCTCTTTCCATCAGAAGCAATTCAATTAGGTCTCTGCCTTACGAGAGTTTTTTACTATCCAAATGGGCCCTAGCCGCTCAGGCCGCTGCACCGAATTCTTTCAAGGGAAGGGAGGCGAAGAAGGGGGGGGGTTGATAGATATGAGAAGTCTTATTAGCTCGTTGTCAAGGTCTCCCCCTCTGAAAGGCAATCTTTTCACTCTAATGGATACATTTGCTTGTATATATGAAGGATGAACAGACAGGGGAGCTTGTAAATAGCTTTTTTCGGTCTCTGGATATCATGCACTAATGTTCTGTCATGCATGAAAATGTCCTACATGGTAGTTGGAGGAAGAGGAGTATTTTAGGATGGCTTTCTAATAAGCAGTTGAGAGGTGAAAATAATGTTTCTGAGCCAAAAAAAACTTTTTACCTTCCCTTTCATGTGGTTCCCAGCGTCACGCTTGGAGTACACTTTGCAGGTTAAATCTGAGCAACGTCATAGCTTTCATCCCGATTCCTCTGCTGTGTGTATTTTGTGGACTGGTGGAGTTTTTAATGTGGTACATCAAGTTAATACTGACGTGTCTTTGTTCTACATCTTGCTCTTTGTTTTTGCCTCCTTTCCCCTCTGGAGGTGGCTGGGATCCAGCTGTCTGTGTGTGTTGACTGTACCAGCCATGATGCTGACACACATACTCGTGCACGCCCACACGCGGGGTCCCCGCACCCGTCTCAGACGCAGCGGGGACTCAGCTTGACATCCAAATGGCACCCAGGGCAATGCATGTGGGAGCATCAACATTCATGTTTTCATCACCACACACACACACACACACACACACACACACACACACACATACACATACACATACACATACACACACACACACGTGTGTACAGTTTGACATGTGCATGAGGCATCACAAACATGGTGCACTGAAAAGTTGTCTGCATACAAACTCTTACGGCCATTACTAGATCACTCTGTTTGAAGATTGGAGGCAAGTTGGAAAACAAAGCATCTTCAAAGGCAAAAAGACAGGGAGGGACATCGGGGGGGGGAGTGTTTGTGATGGAAGAGGAGGGGAGGGCACCCCACAAGGGAAATGGAGGAAGGCATGAGAGGAGGGGGGATGGCCTCTTGGATGTGTTGTGATGCCCCAGTTGCCCATTTGGCTCTTCCGCCACTTATTTATCCCGATTGGTCGCTCCGTTTCATCCTCCGTTGACTCCGGTCGGTCCCACCTAATAATGGGCCTATTACTGGCTGAGATTGCGCCTCTTTGACAGTCCCGAGCACACTCGGGCGCTTCACACGCTCATTTCCCTCTTAGGTTACGCAGAGGTCCCGCTCAAAAGACTGGTCGGACTGAGGTTTGAGGTTGTGTTCGTGCAGCAGCGTTTTAAGACTGGGTTGTGGTTGCGTGTACATTTCTTTCTTGGTTGTTATATCACTTTTAGATGTACAATTCACTTTGGGAAGTTGCCTTATTCGACACATAAAACATTATATAATGAAGCTATTCATTAAAAAAATCATAACAAATAATGATTCTTTGTTGGTTTTTGAATTCTCTATATTAAGCATTTCAACATGTTACAAAATGTAATTTCTTTCTAATAAATGCATATATATATATAAATACATTTTAAAAATACATACATACATAATGTAAAGAATTATAAATAATACATACAAATAAATATAAAATGTATATTTAGTTATGTACAACCTAAAAAATGTAATAATAATTTACAACAATTTGGAAGATTGATCCCCTTTTTTGTGTTTTTTCCCTACAAACCACTGCTGACTTGTTTTGTTCTATATCTGCCATATAATACATCTTTTAGGACAGGAATATTATTTATGATGAATTGTGTCTGTTAAACTTGTCCACCTGCATTTAACCGATTGGCTGAAAATTATTCGTAAAACTTTATAATCCCAAGACACTATTCTATGTTTTCCAAAGTATTATTTTCTTTTTGTAAAAACATCCAATATACATCTCTATGGAACATGCACAGTATTTCATCAATTCATACTAGTCCTCAGACCTTTTTGGAAGCCTAATTGAGTTTTTTCTTGCATACTTTAAAACCAGTGCTCGAAACGTTCCCCTCATTACTTGCAAGGTACTGTATCACAGCTCAAAATGTGCGTAACTAAATTAAACAACAACAAAGGCTAATGTAAAGCTCTCTGGACTTTGTACCATACATCTTAATGGATTGATATTCCATTGCTCTTACATTATGATATCATTCCACGACATCTACTTGTATCTACTCAGTAAATTACAAACGAGGCATCCGTCTTGTGTTGCTTTTTTAAATGGAATGATTTCAAATTTGGATTGAGAGTCTATCAAATTGACAAATTTAAACGTGTTTTTGTGCTAAATATTATAAATAAATTCAACATGAATTTAAACATTGGCAAATGCAGATTCATGGACGGGCCAACTGAGCCATTCGGGACTAAATAAATATTAAAACATAAAAGTAGTATGAAGCTTATTGGTGCTGCTTCATGTTTGTAGTCAAAATTCAGCATCAACAACTTCCTTTGAGATTTCCCTTCCCGTAACTCAACTGTAAGAATCTTGTCCTTAACTGAATTATTTTCTAATTTTGCTGCTTAAAAACAACAACTTTATGCCCTAATTCTTTATAGTTACTCAGCATAAGGTGTACCACTCGGCCGGTTAAAAAACATCAGTCTTCTGTTGATAAAAGTACAAACATAGGAGAACAAGTAGGCTAAACAATCATCATTTAAATGGTAATGTCAGTAAATAGGATATATATGAGACAAATAGGCCGATCAACTGCCAATCCTTCCAATTGGTGCATCTCTAGCAGTCTAGGTGCCGTCAAGGATAGCTTAGAGGGGCTTTTGTGCTTTTTGGGGTTTTCCCTTTCCTGTAGTTGTGTGTTATATATGTTTTTTGTGCACGTTAATGGTCTGGAATACCTAGATTAGACTCCTTTCCTACTTCTGTAACATGATGACATCACTATGTAACACTTGCTCTTCTATTGGCTAGAGATCCAACATATTGTACTTGATAGGCTAAGGGGACTAATTATATGTGGTTGACCAGTCCCAACTGTTTTGGCCAGATAACCAATCAGAGCAGACAGGGTCTGGACAGAGGGTGAAAAGAGGTGATGCAGCACAGGCAGTATGAGTAAAATGAAGCATGTAAACATGACACAGTAAAAGCACAAAATATGAAACTGAAAATGAGCTTATATCCTCTTTAAGTGGTCTCTTTGAATTAAAGCGTTTTTAAATCTGAAGACGTGTCATCAAATCTTTGCTCCTCTAGGTAAAAGAACACAAGGTAGCCTTCTTCCTAAAGAAACGTTATCTTAAAGAGAGCTATTTATGAAGCACTTGCTATAGCTTACATCTGATATGTAAGGGATAATGTGCTGCGACGCGGTCATTATGGGGAAAAGAACACCGACAGGTTGATCAGGAGCCCGACGCGAAGCGGAGGGATCTAGATCGGCATGAATGTATGTACTTACTTACTACTCCGTTATTACACCCGCATTATATCTCTATTACACCTCTATTATCACACCCGTATTACACCTTTACTACTCCGTTATTAACCCACATATATTAAACCCACATACTCCTNGCTAATTATGATTTGTTAACCAAAGACCGTATACAAGAGGTGGGTGTTACCCAGTGGTCTTTGGGTTAGGGATTTGAAGCCTGACGTTTTGCATTTTTAGCTCAAGATTCAAGGCTTTTATTGTCATTTTTAAATAGCTATAGTGTAGATATGTCAATGAAAATCTTAGGTCATAGGCTCACCCAACAGTGCAACACAATAAAACAGATAAAATAGTGCAAGTAAATACAAATAAAATAGAATATAAATAGTGCAAGGAGAGTCTATATACAAGTAAGTGGAATATGATATAAAAGCACACGACGAAAAGTAAACAAACACTGAAATAATACAAAAAAAAAACAAGGTTTGTAGAGGAGCCAAAGACACGGCAGCCATCATCACCGGCGCCATCTTGGTTTTTTACCGTCGCCATTATGGTTTTGTGGGAACCGGAAGTGAAATGATAGGGTGGAGAAAGACACATATGCAGGTTACCAAGATGTTACAGTGAACCCTCATGAACTCAAAATACATTGCAAGTTCTAACAAAGCATAAACATAAATCAGTTTAAAAGGATGTACAAAAACACTTTGATGAAAAGATATAGTGATAGGTGATCTAAGATGAGAAATCCTTATAAATGTATATATGAATGTAATTTTTTGTATATAAAATATGATAGTCGAAATGATTGAACAGACCATCAGCAGTTGAGTAAGGGGTGCATTTTCTTCCTCCTGCTCATTTTCAGACACTATTATAATTATTATTATTTTGTTAAATATATATATTTTAAATATATACATATTTTTGAATGTATAAATATTGTTTGACAATTTATAAAAGAAAAAAAAAATACTGTGCTGTACCAATTCTGTATAACATTTATTTTATTTTTTTTTGTATCTTTTTGAAATNGTGTGCCTTGGCAGTCTAATTATTATTATTTTGTTAAATATATATATTTTAAATATATACATATTTTTGAATGTATAAATATTGTTTGACAATTTATAAAAGAAAAAAAAAAATACTGTGCTGTACCAATTCTGTATAACATTTATTTTATTTTTTTTTGTATCTTTTTGAAATAAAGATGCAAATGAAAATAAAACACGACACCACCTAAAACATGTTAGCAACTTGCCAATCACAAGGGAGCCATGCCATAAATCATACCCTGCTTTTGAAGCCAGTGATTGAGAACACAAACTAACTAGGAAAATGTGTGCTGTCGCAATACCAAAAATGTAGCTGAAACAATAAATCATGTGTTCTTCCAACATACAATCCATTATTACCATTTGCATACTGGATTTTGTTTTAGGAAGTTAAACAAGTAATAATGGACATCATTTTATATTGTTGGGGAAATTCTCCGGTACCGTTAGCCGTTAGCGCAGTTTTTCTAGCCAAACAGGACTGAGTTGCTCATTGCTAAAAGCTAACTTCAATTAGCTTTCCTCTTGCCCATTTGTTTACAATGTAGCCATATTCTTCCTCAAACACATTTTCTACCGTCCCCAGGCAACAGTAGTTTGAGCGCTTAAGGTACAACAAAATATGACGGTTCCTACGTTACTGTCAAACACCAAGTGCCTGGAAGGAAATTAGACATTACCAATCCAATAAAAGGGCTCTCTAATAATATCTCACGGTATGTATCTACTTAGTTAATTCCTCTGTGTAAGGTCGCATCAGGACATAATACACATCACTTAAGTATAACAGGAAGTTAGTAACTCCTATTCAAAGAGAAGGAATATGAATGCAGATGCTCCCATATAGGGTATGAGGGGGGCATTGAATGGTTTGATGTGTATTAAAATGGCATCAAGCCTATGAAACAACCTTTACAAATCACCACATTACAACCCTAAGAACTCCTTTGGGAGATGTTGGGTGTTTAGTGTCAGAGAGGGCTCTCCACCTTCAATCAATTCACCAAGAATGGTTGGATTTCATATATGGTTTTCAGCAGCAGATACAACTTAAGATCAAAAATGTATGTGGTGAGTTCAACATGGAAAATAAATCCTTGCAATGAACAGCTAATTGAACATTTTTCATTATTAAAAACTATTTTGTATTTTTTCAATAACTAATTCATCATCTGAGTAAAAAGCAAATGTTACACAGCCTTTCAGATATAAACACTGGCTGGTTTACTGGCTTCTTGCTTTATATGATAGCATAAAGGATCTCACAAACGTCATAAACAAAACAATCAAGCAGTAATCAAGAGACTTAAGGCAATAATTGTTAACTGCAGTTAAAACAAGTCAGTCACCCATCTCTTAGGAATATTTAGTTGCTGAAGACAATAAAGATTTAGATGGATGGAGATAAAGATGGGAGATTACGCGTAATAGAACCATTAAAATCTGCTTCTTACCCACATTAACAGATACACATTTACGATTTAACACACATTACATTTAAAAAAAACTCAACAAACAATCACAGGCTGATTTGCACAGTGGGTAATGTAACCCATACGAATATAAAAAGAGATTTCTCCTGTTTTGCTGCATCAGGTGTATACTTTTGTTTAAAAAACATTTACTGCCCAGCGTGAGTCTGACAACACTGTGGCAGTGCAAAGCTACATCGGGGGATTTACTCTTTAAAACAAGCTATGCTAGGGTGCTTTGAAGCCGTTCTGGAAGTGCATGCCAATGACAGTTTTTTTTCTTACAATTTGTTACGCATCTTCACAAAGTGCTATTACAGTCACTTTCCGTAGCAAAGTAAGCAGAGTGTTAACATTTGATTATGGACCCTTTTTGGACCTGCTCCTATGGAAATGAATCAGTGGTTGTTGACGCTAATGACGCTGCTGTCTTGTTTCTGCTTTGTCTCGGAGTTTAGGGACACACTGGTGGATTGTTCCTTCAATGAAAGCTGCTCAGGGTTGAATAATCACAGAGACCAGTACACACACACACACCCACACCCACACACACACAGAAGAAGAAGACTCATAACTGGGCTATTTTTAGCCTCAGAGAAAAGAAAGCAGGAGCCCGGTTCATTTCAATGGAACAGACCACAAGATACAGAGCTGCAATCTTTAGGGGCTTCCACATCCCCCGACACATGGCCCTGCTGAAGCTCACTGAACTGCACCGGAGGCCTCCTCCATCTGCACCTCCTCCACAACAAACGAGACAAAACAACCTGCTATTCACAGACACAATGTCAACTTAGATCCCCGGCCTGCAAAAGCGCACATATGCCCGCAAGCTGTGGGATATTCACGAGCAGGGGGGGTGCCTCTGCTAAATACTAGCGGAGCAGATGGAGATGCAGCGCTGTGTCACTATCTCCCAGCTCTCTAACAGTGCTGCATGATTCTCACTTTTCCACATCCAGCAACAGCCATGAACTTGGCTCTGGCACTTGAGTGAGCAGGAGCCAATGCAGGGAGGATGAGGGGGGGGGGAGCACACCGGCAGATCGAAGGAAGGATCAGCGGAAGACAAACAGAGAGATATTGACGTTAAGCTGGGTAAGACCCAATCACTTAAACCCCTTTTAACACACTCTGAGGTGCCCCCGAGGTATGGTGGTGTGACCCTGCAATCTGCTCCCAAAGGGGTGAAGATAATGGGAATGGAGGATTCGAATGAAACCCTCTTTATTTGTCACACACATGTACACCTCAGAGGACATACTTTCAGGGACTTGAACCAGCGACCCTTTGGTTCCCAAGCCAAGACCCTACAGCCCCCCTTTCATATCAATTCCTAGTCATATCCCCACTTCCTTTCTTGACACTTTGATGAATCTGCTTACTAACACCTCCACCCCCCCTTCCCCATCTTGTCCTCCACTGGCAGGTGTGATAATGGCTTAAAGCCAGGCCAGACAGACGGGGCTTGACCAGGGTTGAGCTGGTAAACAGCGGGATTTAACTCACCGCGTCTGGATAATTAGCAGTGAGGGACACACACCTTCTGTAACATCACAACATCCAAACCTGTTAAGTGCGTTTTCGTGTGTGTGTGTGTGTGTGCCCATAATAATTTGTACCATAGTGTACATAGTACGTACCATGGTATACCATGGTACCTCAGATGTTACCATAGTGTACCATAGTACGTACCATGGTACTACCATGGTACCTCAGATGTTACCATGATGCATACCATGGTATAACCCTGGTACATACCGTTGTACCACAGCTGTTACCATGGTACGTACCATGGTACCTCCGATACTATAGTACATGCCGTGGTACCTCAGATAACTGGTACTCCATAGAGTATTCAAATGGTACTACAGACATTACCATGGTATGTATCATGATAATCACTCAAGTCCCATTGTATGCATTTTTTTTTTTTTTTTTTTTTTTTTAAATGTGAATGCAAGTCTTATACCTTGTTTAGTATATTTCATTGTTGGTTTTAGTTGGTTTCACTTTAGGTAACATATATTTTCATCTTCTTTTTCAACACATCTTCACACAAAATAGCCAAAGAATTACACTTTAGATAAAGATGTTCTCAATGTTGTTATTGAATGAGACAATTGAGTTCATATAGCGCTTCAATGTGGCGTTTTACTCACATATTTAGAAATATCCATACAGATTTACCCAGTCACAGACACAAATACACGTGCATTACAAAATACAGTTAATGATCAAACAGTGAGTTTTAAAAAAACAATAATAGCATAAATAAAAACACATTTAAATCATCATATATGTGCAGACAAATTGAGTCTCAACAGTTTGTGCTAGCCCTCAACATTTAACTTGTCTCAAACCAAGGCATTTTCATCACATATAGCTTACCCCCATGTTCAATTGCAATACATTTAGCTATGATGTCCTCACATGTCAATACACACAATTCATTGGAGATCTTTACTTTTACAAGAAATTTTGCAACACCAGTTTGTCTTACTGGAACAAAGTGGACCTGCACAAATTATACAATTTCATGGTTTGGATCTTCCCCTCCGTCCTCTGATGACCCTCCAGACTGAGAGACAGCAAAAGGCTATAAGATAAGATGGATCTTTATAGGGAACAGGTGTTAGCATGCAGCAACAAAATATATTTAAATGTGAAGGTAGCATTGCGGGTGAAAGTATGTGCATACAGTGAAAATAATGTTAACTATAAGTTATAAAATAACTCCTGATACATTTTGTTAAATATTTGTAACCCAACTTCTTTTATGTCGGATAAATCTGTATTCTTATCATCATATAAAACTGTGTTGTCTCTTACTGCTACCTGTAATGTAGCAAAGGTCATGGATTTTAACAGAATACATTTTTTTAAATAAGTAAATCAATCCCTGCATGTTTATGTTGTACCATTTCATGTTGTTGATCTGTTCCTTCGTCGTCTGCAGCCATCTCTACTTCATCGTCACTCTGAGAGACAGGAAAGTTTAAATCAAATTGCAAACACGGGATACCTAACAACAGTACATGACGGAGGACGAACAATGATCCCTTGGACAATGCACAGTTGGCAATGCTTAAAAAAAATCAGTGACCAAGTAGCAGAGTCATCGTTAAGCACCAGTGAGTCCAATTAATCTTAAGTCTGTGGATCGATCAATGCATTTAAAACGTACAATTTCATGCAATGTGGATCCTCCTTTGTCATCAATTCGTTTAATACAGTAATGTGAAACAAAAACTGACCAAAATAAAACGTTAGCTTATATTGACAGTTCATCCCGATCGTCCAATATGAAGAGAAACATTTCACTTAGCGTGTCACGAGTTTGTGCACTCCATACTTTCTCCGGTGGACACAGTGATTTGTAGTCCTGGGAATAATCTACCATAATCTGACAAATATCTTTTGTACATTCTCAGGTTTCTATATATTTCGTGAATGAGAATCAAAATTAAAGAACTTTTTCCAGGACACGGATTATTCTGCGGCCGAAGGTAGCTGGTGGAGTGGTGACGTGCACGTGTACATTTCAACTTTCGCCTCGTGCTCACTGGCTACTCTAGGGCGTTGCTAGTGGATACAGACCGCAGTGCAGACTCAATCTCCGGCTATTGTAATCACTTTGTTGCCACTACTTTAGAGCTACTTTTGAACACAAAATTGTACGGCTCAATGAATGTTAGCAATGATACAACGAAGTTGACCGGTTAAATTTAAATGAGGGGAGTAGATTCTCTGAAGTTGGATCAAGGAGTTATCTTGTCTGGTGACCCCAAAGATGGGGAAAAAGATGCGCTTGGACTGCGAGAAGTGTATCAACTGGCGGTAAGTTTGCATATTTAAATAGAGTCGATACATGTTACAGCTTATCATCTAATTATTATTAACAGTTGTTAGATGCCTATGTTATATTGTTAATATATACAGTGGGGCTGGTCAATTGAATAGAGGTGCTATGAAAGGGTTTATAAGTATAATGAGTACAATACTGTTTAGTATATCAAATCTTAAACCGTTATATGTTTCATTAGAATCATTACCTCTCTCGTCTGGAAATTAAAGCACCCAGAAGCGCACAGCAGCAGCCAACCGCTGACCGTTGCTACCCGAAAAATATATGGCAGCACATTTCAGCCAATCAGCGGTCCTCAGATCTGTTAAATGGAAAGGCGCTCTAATAATCCCGTTTCTAAATTATTATTACAAATAAAAAATAGTGTTTTTATCTAGAAAGTGTCACGGCGCCATTGGAAACAGTAAATCGTAAAATATATATTATATTCTTTCAGAAAGATGATATCAAAAAAGCAGCTCCGTCCATAGTTCATTATCCTCAGGTATAGCTCTCAGTTTCAAAAAGGTTGCAGACCCCTTGGTATAAAATTATGCCCCCATCCCCCCCATCTTTCCACAGCCCACACCTAAAATATGTTTCACCAGCTGCATCTAATAAATAGTTAAATCACCTGGCTACATAGTATTATCAGCTAAGTATCATAAGTATACTAATTACGTAACTAACTTACGTATAGACAGTACTATTATACAAATGTTACTATATATATATATATATATATATATATATATATATGGATTGTACAAAGTAATAGGCTGAATATCTTTGTTGCTTCCAATAGATGACAAAGGTGCACTCCTCAAGATGAGGAACCGGCTGGTTGAAGGTAAAGAACCTTTGGAACAATCCGGGCCGATGGGAAAAGGCAAGAGGGCAAAGAAAAGGAGGCCTTTTCTGGAGGAGGACGACGACGTGGAACAGTCAGAGGTGAGTTATTCAAAATCGAAACACCACCACTTTATGAAGATACACACACAACCACACACAAAAACAAATATTTATATATGTTGTTGTCTGTTCTCAGGAGAGACCAAGCAAAAAACCAAGGCCGGAGTCATCGTCATCCACAGACATTATCCAAAATATATAAGGATCTTCAGAAGTATGTATCTGTTTTATACTAAGTCCAAAGTGCAGTGACCTAAATGTACCTAAACTGTGCAATACATACCTGGCTGCTAAATCCTCAAAACACAAGTAAATTTATTTAGAACTAACTTTCCACACTGGCTTTTAAACCTAACCTTCTTTTTTTTAATGGTGTGCTTTTTGATAGGCCCAAGAGGTGAACAAAAATAGTTACCAGAGGACGTTGGAGGAAAGGGTTGCTGCACTGGAGAGGGAGAATTATTCCCTCAGGAATGCTTTGAGCATCATTGAAGGTATGTTGATTTAACTGTGCTTGAGTAAAAGTAGAAGTACTCAGATCTTGTAGTAAAAGTAGAAGTACTCAGATCTTGTTCTTGAGTAAAAGTAGAAGTACTCAGATCTTGTACTTGAGTAAAAGTAGAAGTACTCAGATCTTGTACTTGAGTAAAAGTAAAGTACCAGAGTGTCAGAATACTCTGTTACAGTAAAAGTCCTGCATTCAAAATGTTCCTCAAGTAAAAGTAGAAAAGTATTATCATCAAAATATAGTTAAAGTAGCGACTGTAAAAGTAATCATTGTGCAGATTGGTCCATTTCAGAATAATAGATATGATATGTTTTATAATGATTGATCATGAAAGTGTTCTCAAAGCTGGTAAAGGTGCAGCTAGTTTGAATGACTTTGTATACTGCAGGGTAGCTTGTGAATTTACTCCAGGTGGAACTAAAGTCTGATTTAACACTTGATTATATTTCACATCATTCATCCACATCAGTAAAGTAATTAAAGGTATTAAATGCATGTAGTAAAAGTACACCATGTACCTCTGAATTGTAGAGGAGTAGAAGTACAAAGTAGCAAAACATTGAAATACTTAAGTAAAGTACAAGTATCTCAAAATTGTACCCAAGTATAGTACTTGTTGAGTTTATGCACAGAGGCATGAAAATGCATTTTCAAAATGCTCAACAGTGCTGGCAAAACTATAAACTGACTGCTACACAATTAAAATAAATGCTTTTATATATTTCTATTAGATGTGACTCTTTAGCATTTCTGTTATTATTACAACTGCTGCTTTAGTTGTTCTGACTGCTAAAATCATCTGTTATTCCTAAATTTAAAGCCGATTTTCCGTGGGGTGGTCGGGGGGCTTGGATCCTTGTCACCTTTTTCATACCTGATGAGTTTGCATCCCTGCTGTCTACCTGACTGTCTGTCTGTTTTTGTAATTTGTCTCTTCATCTGTTAATTCCCCTTTTCTTTATTTCTTTCTCTCTTTAGGTGAAGTTAAATCTGTCTTCAAAGAGAAGACAGAGGCGGAGATCAAGGGCTACATACGCCAGAAACTCTCCAATTCGGCGAAGATCCTCAAAAGGAAAACATTTTTAAAAAATCAATTTGTTCGGCCACTATGTTTTTTCATGCAATATTGTATGTTCGGTAGTATAAATTAAAAATGTTAATACCGTAATTTTCGGACTATAAGCCGCGCCTTTTTTCCCATTTTTCGACCCTGCGGCTTATATAACGGTGCGGCTAATCTATGGATTTTTACAGCTAACGACCACTAGGGGACCTCGTAAAGCTATGGATTTTACAGGTTACAGTCCACCACCTTTAACTCTATGGGCTCTATGGCCGGTCCGCGCCCCCCACCTTTAAGCGGCGGGCTCCAGCAGGAAAAGCTGGAGGCCGGAAAAGTGTGATACAGGTGGTGCGCAAAAGTAAAAGTGGAACCGAGAGTGGTACGAGAGACAGAACGAGAGCAAGACAGACAGACATTACGAGAGCGAGACAGTTTGTCCCCGTACCACTGGTTGAAAACCACTGCTGTAGATCACTGCCGGTAAGTGCGCTGGGAGCACACCGTTTAAGTTTGAAAGTTGAAAATGTTGTGTGTCTGAAATGCTATGTGATACAGTACAGTTTACACAGCACAGTACATGTTCTATAGCTACCATTGCACTAAATGGTAACACTTGAATACGTTATGCAAATATGCAACTTGTTTGTTGAAATGTTAATAAATGGGAGCTTCCTCAAACAGCCATCTCTTTCCCGACAATCCCCTCTGTGCACAAACCCTTACATATGGTAATTAAACATTAAAACACCTGCGGCTTATAGTCCAGTGCGGCTTATATATGTACACATCATTCAATTTAGCTGCTGCGGCTTACATTCAGGTGCGCCTTATAGTCCGAAAATTACGGTACATGTTGAGTCCATGTATTATTTGTATTTGCCTCAGTCCATTATTTTTATTTGATATAGCCTACCATTGTACATTCTACAGTATCTACAGTTTGGTACAGGTGTGACACAAATACAAGAACATATGTATTTACCATGGTAATTGTTATGGTGCCAGGGTTAGTGGGTTATCAAGCCCTCCAACAGCCATATGAAATGTTATAGTTCTCGTACCATAGTACCATGGTATATTTACCACGGTACATGTACCACAGTATTTTTTGACAGATAGTACCATGGTACATTTTATAGTACCATGGTATTTGTTCCATAGCACATATAGTAATGTACCATGATACAATCTGTCAAAAATACCATGGTAAATATACCATGGTACTATGGTAAAATGTCGTGTGTGTGTGTGTGTGTGTGTGTGTGTGTGTGTGTGTGTGTGTGTGTGTGTGTGTGTGTGTGTGTGTGTGTGTGTGTGTGTGTGTTGTCCACGAGAGGCTCAGTGTGTGTGCAGCTGAACCCATGCTGCCTGCTGCACGCAAATCGCTCCCGGTCGCACAATAACACCCACGCGAAAGCAGGGGGAAAACAAAGAGATGAAAACTCCTAATGAAGCTACGTGACGCGAACACATGCACGGCAACACTTGAACATAACTCTACATGACAGCACTGGCAGGACCCCCCTGAGTGAGATACATTCCACAGCGGATCTTTACGTCAAAATCAATCGCAAAGTGAACACCGCCGCTCCGAGATCGATGGGATTACAAGCTCCACGAACAGCCATTAACTCTGGTTTTGCCCTGGAAGGCATTTCCTGCAGTAATAACTCCTTTTTTTGTTTTATCAAGCGCAGCGAAAAGCAGATTTAAAAGCATCTGAGGGAATATAAACTATCCCCATGTGGCCTAAAAGACGTCCTTCGTGTCTTCTTCGCTTCTTAAGTAAAGGTTAAAACGTACTTTCCCGAAGAGAAACTCGTGTTTTCGTGCTCACCTGTGATCTCCCTGCTGACGTTCACGAAGCCCGTGGCTGTTGTGTCCTTTGAGGCCATGGTGCGCTCCTCCAGCCCCTACTCCGTCCTCCGCTTGTTTATGTCCCCTGCGTACTTCTTCTTGGCCCCTTTTTTTGGTAGCTCCCTCCGCCTGCAGGTGCTCCGGGAGCAGCAACAGTCCGGACGGTGAGGTGCGAAGCGATACTGTGGTGCGCACTGGCTAATACCCGACGAGCGCCTCAGACTTCAGCGCACATGCGAGAGAGGGAGGGGTGGAGGGGGAGGGATAGGGAAAGAGAGAAATAGAGTGAGATATATGAGTTTGATAAGGGTTGGGAGGTTGTATTTTCTTTCTTCGATTAGTTGTTAAATATGAAATTTCTCGGCATGCTGCAAATGAAGCTGCTGGAAGGAATCATTTTAGACTTGAAATGAAATGGTATCGAAATAAATCCTATTATATAAAATCAAATGGTATTTGCTTTGATATGTAGGCTAGTATTGGTTTAAGTAGTTAAAACAAAAATGAATCTTCTAAATGTGAACATGTAATGTTTTTTTTACTCTATTAAAGTAAACTAGAGTTGTTGACAAACTACATTTAAGGACGTATAATGTCAAGCATTCATCAACATTTTATAGACCAAACAACTAATCCATTAATCAATAAAATAGTTGAAGCCCCAATGGATATAAACACGGACATGCAGTAGGCTTTACAGAGCGTGTTTGGAATCATCCTTGAGGTTGACTGGCTAAAGTGGATATTGATAAACAATGAACATCACATTTTGATAACCATTGGCAGCAATCCTAGAAAGGCCAGTTAGTTAATGACATTAATGACAATTGATTAATAAATAATGAGGGTTATAGCAGTAAGAACTATTACCCCTCAAAATGTCTTTTAATCCCTGATTAACAAGATTCAGGTCTCTCACTGGCAACACTCAGTGATGAGAGATAATCTATTTGAACTTTAGGCTGTAAGAGTTTTAATGTTTAATTTATATAAAGTATTTCCTTGATCGCTTTGATTATTTCATATGAAAGCCCAATATGTATAAAGAATTACACATAATAAAACTAATGTAACTATAAATACACAAAAGTGACATTATATAATTGATTCAATAAACTATTATTTCTTATAGTTTATTTTACAAAAAGTGTTTTTCATAATTATGTCATAGTAGCCTTATTCCCAAAGTCTATTTGAATGAAAATAGATGTGTCACCTGGGCCCGCCCACTCACAATTTAGCTGTAGTTAAACACATTACAAAGCAGTAAAATAACTAACGTCTTTTTTAATTACGCCTAACAGTTAGCTATGAATGCTACCTAACTAGCCAGCTCAATAGCTAGGTTAGCGTAGATTTATAACTCAGCATTAAAATGAAGAGCGGTGATAGCAGTGGCAGCTAGCTCGACGGTCAATTCAGGTTTACCTTTGCAACGCCGTGAACGAGTTTTCCAGAGTAAGACAAACAACCCTGTGAAGAGCAAAAACACACAAAGACTATTCAAAACCACTCCCTCTTTCACTCATTCACTAGTCTCTTTTTAAGAATGAGTTTGGACCATAGGTTTGGACACAGCCATAGTACTTGTGTGGTTGTTGTAGCTCATGTTTGACAAGCTAGCTGCATGGTAGTTGTTTGTTGCGCTGGGAGGCTCAGGACACGTGTGATTGGCTGAATTAGTGAAGGAGGGGCGGTCCCTGATGACGAAATCATTGTGGAAACTGAAAACCATATCAAACCAACTAAAAATAACTATTTTAATAAAACATGTAATTGTTTATAATAC